GGGACGACAGGTGATACAGGTGATGCTCATATTCGATCAGGAAGCGATAGATGGAACTGTCGTAAGGCCGGCATCCAATTCAGTTGTGGAATATGTCACGTCGCATCTCGTCGGATACAATAACAGGGCCGTAACCCCACAGAATATCGATGTTACTTCCAAAATCGAACTCTACAAATTATACTTGATTGTACATTTTAGAACTAATCCAGTGTGATTCTAGCTCATCGCGATTTTGGACATTTCTACGGTAGCAGTTATATTGCAGCTCCCGATGGAAGCCGGACACCAGTAAGTTTTGGGTAACTCCGAGAATCTTCAGAATAAACTTGTATTTTAGGGATTATCACGAACGAAGGACGGAGTTTTGATTGCTGAAATTGATTTGAATCTCTGCCGTCAGACAAAGGACAGCTGGGGCTTCAGGGTGAGTGACAGCTGTTGAAATTATCTGGAAAAGAATCTTCTAGAAATGAAACACAGACGAGTGTTTTACACAATTTTTTTTCAACTCACGTTATCGTATAACCATCTAGATGTTCAGATGACCAATAGACTGGATCTCTATGCGAAAAGCTTCGAAAAAGCCGCTCACCCAGATTACCAACCCGATATTCGCAAGGAATGCTGAATAACACACATGATGATATCAGAAATAAATTCCATGGACAAGAACTCATCTTTCGTTGCTAGAATGAAGTTTCAAAACAACTTTTTTCTTCTTGGACGATCACAGAAGCAATAAGGAGAGCTAGGGACTGCGGCCTAATCAAGCCGTTGATGAACTAAGGATTCTCCTGTGTAATGGACTCCTTTGAAACAGTTATCCCGGAAGAGATATCCTACAATGATAAAAAAGATTTTGAGTATTACTCGGTATACTGCGAGTTCCTATGAACGGCTCTATTGGCATGTGAAAGTTTTTCTCGAAAGGATTAAGTTGCACCACCAATCTAATTGTACATATCATTCTAGACAATAATGTCCAAAGTTTGAGTCCATCACTTGGGTAACGGAACTTCTCCCCTATCGCGGCATTCTCCCTTGCGGCATGCGGCAAATATCACTGCAACTACCGTACTCTCCCCGCCTCCCGCCGATCGATTTAACGAGATATTTTTCCTTAGCTGGCTTGCTTTTTCATTGGACTTTATCGTTTTTTCTTCTGTTTCTTTTTAGTTTTCATGTTTATCAGACTTGATTGATTAAAATCAATACTCCTACGTAAGCGACGATCAAGAATGCATTGGAATTGAAGAAAGCGGTCAGCCAATTCAAATAATTAAAGGACTCCCTACCTCACAAATTGCGCGCTCCAATCTTCCATCGCAATCCTGCGATAGGCGGCGGGTGCGGCGTGTGCGACGCCGTGTTAGGGGAGAAGTTCTCGGACCCCCATCACTTGGGTCTTTCAAAAATAACAAAGGTTCCCTGCCAGGATG